CAAAGGAAAATGTGACATTTTGGCTTATTTTCAGATTGCAATGCTTCAATGCCCAATGCTACATTTACACCCTCCTAAATGATTTGGAAGAAATATTTAATAATATAAATGAATTGTTTTATTATGTAGGCCACTTTACAATTTATATTTTAAAGATAAATCTGTTGATTAATTGCTAAGCCAGTAACTGTGACCTGTTTTGATTGGACATGTTACCTATTTTTATTTATTTGTTTAATTTGTATCTCACCTTTTATTATTTTTATGACTAACTCAAAGCAGCAAACATCTCCAACATGTCTTCCTTCTCCTATTTTCCCCACAACAATACACATGTGAGCTGAGTTAGGCTGAAAATCTGATGGGACCAAGGTCACCCAACTGGCTTTTGTGGCTAAGATGGGAATTCAGTCTCCTGCTTTCTAGCTTGGTGCCTTAAACCAGGGGTCCCGAACTTCTGGGCTGCGGCCCAATAGTGAGCTCTGGGCTATTTGCAACTGGACTGCATAAATGGTAGGCAAGCATGCATGTCTGTGCATGGATACCCAAGTTTGTGAGTAGTAGCTGAACACATGCACACACACACTTGCACAAGTGGCAGGCATATGTTCTATAGGACAATAGAATAGTCCAGTTGTGGCCCAGTGGCTAGAATGCAGTATTGCAGGCTTACTCTACCCTTAGTCTGTAGTTCGATCCTGACAAGACTCAAAGTTGACTAGCCTTGCATCCTTCCAAAGTCAATAAAATGAGGACTCAGATTATTGGGGGCAATATGCTATTTTTTTTAACTGCTCAGAGGGTGTTGTAAAGCACTAGGGAGCAGTATATAAGTTTTAAGTATATAAGCCTAACTGCTTTTGCTGTTTATTATACAATTTTTGTTTTGTTTCTCAATTGGGCAATTTACAGATGAAGGAAACTTTATTTAAGGCTCATCTAGCGGTTGTTATATTTTTGACACCCTCTCATTTTTTCAGTGTTTAATAATTGATGCATATACTTCTCTTTTTAATAGCCAGGTTGTTTTATTTACCATCTTTATTTTTGGTGCTGCATTTTAGATTTAAAATTGCCATGAAAACCATTGAATAGCAGTGTCTAAAATAACTAAACAAATATTTGGAAGTCATGCCCACAAAGTCAATACATAAGATGCCCGGTTTGGTATACCCTGGACATAACCCTATTGTTTGGTTACTTTAAAATAAAGTTAGTTGTAAGTGAAATCCTGCAACCAGCTAGTTAATACTAAAACAAAACATTCCTCTGTATTTCTTTGTTCCAAAAATAAGGGGCAGATGAGGAAAAAGATATTTAGATTGGAAATAGACACCTCTGCCACTTCCATCTGTTGACGGTGAGATTTCAAGGCTGTTGTCTCTTTTTCAAGATCAGTTTTGCAATTATGTTTGGAAATGCCTATATATTCCATTCTTACATTTTTTGGAATTATCTTCACCTATTACCATAAGGAACACTGATACATTTTTGATAGTATGTTTGAAATGGGGAAATGGTATTTTGATGGCCACACCTCCCCCCCTAAAAGTGATGAAAATTTAGGTGCATCTTATAGACCAAATACAGGGGTTTTTGGCCTCCTGAATCCTCTGTTCATCCCGTTTTTAGCTTCCCTTGCTCCCAGAAGCACTCTGTAATGGTCTGCATGTTTTTGGCCTGCAAAGTTCTTCGGAGGGCTTTGGAGGGCAAAAATGTGATGTGCAGAGGGCTTGGGAGCCCCAAAACAGCTCCGGTTTTGGCAAAAACAGTCCTTTTTGCCGAGTGCTTCTGGGGGCTAGGGATGGCAAAAATGTAACACATGGACACTAAAAACTTTTTTTTCTTGTTTTCCTCCTGTAAATGTAGGTGCGCCTTACAGTCTGGCACGTCTTATAATCTGGAAAATACAGTACTTTCCCCCTGGATCCAGCTGGATCTCTCTCCTCCCCTTCTTGCCTGAAGGATGAGGTATCTGTCAGATGTCTAGGCAGATAATGCGATCAGGAACTCGGGAGCAGCTCTATTAAGCTGCCACCATCAGCAAGGTCCCACCCAGGAAGCCCCCCCCCCCAATTTTATTATCATTATCTGTCATTAAAATAATATTTATTCCCAATGTTTCTTGTGAGGTAGAGGATTCTGATTCATTTTAGGAATGGGGAAAATTAGGAGTCTAGTAAAATCTTTTCAAACTAGCATGTTTTCTTAAAAGCCATAATCCTCCACATGTTAAAACTCATTTTATCAGATGCATTGGGGAAAACCTAGAATCCAAAACAGTACATAGCAGAGATAAATAATATGCCTGAGCCAATGAATACAATGATAACTTAAATTTGAAATTGCTTCCATTATTGATAGAATTTGCCTGTGCAGAAAATGACTGTTTTTTGTAGGAAAGACTTAATCACAACCATTTGTATATCAGAATTGATGAAATTGCTCCCTGCCTGCATTTTAGTCCCTTAGGATGCTCTCTACCACTTTGTTTACATCTGTTCATGAGACTGAAGGGAGAGGGGGGAAGAATCGGCTTTCTTCCAACAAACTATTGGGTCCCCATCATTTGTATTTGTATTTGTATTTTATTATTTGTATGCCGCCCTTCTCTGGGAGGACTCAGGGCAGCGAACAATTCAAGGGGGAAAAAAGGGGGAACATAAAAGACAAAATATAAATAATAAAAGTAGACAACAGTCGCACAACCATACATGTCGAGAGGGGAGGGAACTCATCACCCCCAGGCCTGCCGGCAAAGCATATACCTTTTTATAATTGATTTACTTCTAGGGAAGCCTGGGAAGTCTTTCAGCAACATATGTATTTTTTAAATAAAAATATTAATTCAAAAAAAATTTTTTTTAAGATAGTCAAGGAAATTTTTGAAGGAAATTCCGCAGCATGCTGTGGGCCATTGGGATCCTATTATGACTCCTGTGACTTAGAACAAATCTTATGCTTTCCCAGGGTAGCCTACAGTTCTAGAAAAAGTACCTAGAGAAGTCTCTCTGGCCAAGCCATAAAGAAGTCATAGAGCTATAGAGATGGATAGCATGTATCCTGGAGCATGGTGTGCTCTTGAGAAAAGATTTTAGCAGACATTAGCTATGACCTCTTATGCTTATCTGTCTAAACCTGTGTTTTTCAACCATGGCAGCTTTAAGATGTGTCTACATGGCTGGCTAGGGAATTATGAGAGTTGAAGTTCACTGGTCTTAAAGTTCCTGAGGTTGAGAAACACTGAAATATCACTGACAATATTTTCTCCAGCTCCTCAGTTTGCCCAGTGATTTACAGACCAAAGCAGATTCATCTTGTCTCCAAGAATGCAAGCCCTCAGGCTCCCAGTGCTGAAAGGAAGAGGCTAGGAGGAATGTGTATGGGTTCTGATGGCCTTGTTCCCATTTGAAAGGCTGCTTAGGAACCAGACAAGCCAAAACAAAACATATGCTTAAGTTTATGCTGTGACAGTTTTCCTCTAAAAGCATAGGCGGATTGTGCAATGGCTCTAAAATCACATCATCTGTATTGACTTCTTTGAAACTAAGTTATCTTAGGGCAGGGTTGGAAAAGATACCATTTTCATGGCATAATTTTGTTTAAGTGCATTCCTGTCAGCAAGGGTACAGGAGGAGTGTGAGGTGTATTTCTAATTTCTTATTTTCTATTGTATATAAACTCTTTGATATACATGCATTCAGGAATAGATATCTCTGAATGGTAACCACCAGAGGTGGTATTCAGCAGGTTCTGACCAGTTCTGGAGAACCAGTAGCAGAAAGTTTGAGTGCGTTCGGAGAACTGGTAAATACCACCTCTGAATGGCCCCGCCCCCATCTATTCTCTGCCTCCCGAGTCCCAGCTGATCGGGAGGAAATGGGGATTTTGCAGTAACTTTCCCCTGGAGTGGGGAGGGAATGGGAATTTTACAGTATCCTTCCCCTGCCACACCCACCAAGCCACGCCCACCAAGCCAGCCATGCCCACCAAGCCACGTCCACAGAACCGGTAGTAAAAAAATTTGAAAAATTTGAATCCCACCACCGCTATATAAATGATTGACATCAAACATTAATAATTGTTTCACATGTTGTCATTTCCAAAGCAGCACTGTATTTCATCTCTTATTTACCCTGTTTACCCTTTGTCAACCCTGAAATTGACTGAACTGTGGCCATTTTCTTTTTTGTAGTTTTCTCCAGGGAGGTTTATCTTCTCACTGTTTTAGGGCTGACGCACCTGGAGAGAAGGGGCCAGGGGACATGGAGATAGCTGGGGTATTGAAGCCAAAATAAAATTATTTTCCCTAGGAATCAAGGACATTGGTGCAGGTTTTCAAAAGGTAGAGACTGAGGTCACCTAGCAACTGGACTGTATGCTGATTGGACCATGTGACTGGAAACTCGGGGGCAAAGTTTTACTTTTAATTGGGTGTAAAACTGGTGGGAACTTAGAATCAGTTTTCCATCAGGAACATCCCAATTTGATATGTCCCAATTAAATGTTCTTTGATGAAATTGCCTGTCTCAGACTTCTTATTGAATGGATTGTATTACTTGGAGTCTTGACACCCTTCTTATTTTCTGTTCTCCCAAACTCCATAAACAACTGTGTATATAAATATCAGGATTATAAATCTCATGCAATAAAAGAATTTCTGGCCTGGAGAGCCACAGAATTTTACTTATTTTGATGCATAAGTCTTTGTTTATTAAAATTAAGCAACTTATTTCTGTGTTTCCCATCCCTCAAAGCAATCCTGCCTATTGTCACTGCCCCTACCCCATCTCCCCACTTCCATTCAATTGCATTTATTTATTAAAACTCTCCCATAGGAACTTATTCCAGGCATCTAAGGAAACATATGTCATCTATGACAGTTTAAATAACAATAAAGCTGGTTTAACCTTTAAAGTGTGACAACGCGCTCTGATTACTCGTTTTTATTTCACATGATTTGCCTTCTTATCCATTTTTCTCTTCTTCCCATCCACCAGGAGAACATTTGAGAATTTGCCCACAAGGTTATACTTGCTGTACTAGTGAAATGGAAGAGAATTTTGCCAACAAGAGCAGAAGTGAATTTGAAGGCATGTTGAAGGAAGCCACACGAACAGTACAAATAATCTTCACATCCCAGTACAAGAACTTTGATGGTAAGGAATAAAGAATGTACATAGTTTGGAATGCTGGCTGCCCTCGTATGAGATTTTGTATCCATTTATTTTATACACATTATTATATTTGATTTAGAGTGCAAATAGAAATTAATTGCCCAGACCAGATGAACGAGCGGTAGTAGGTAAGCAAACAAAAACAATTTTGATGTAAAATTCCCCAACAAGGAATAAAATACGACAAAGCAGATATAGTAACACAACAGACACTTTCTGTATTCTGATGACAGTAGTACTTTTTTCTCTGACTAAAATTGAAGTACAAAAATTAAATATACAGTGAAGGTTTTCTGATTGGTTTCAGGAAATGTTATACATACAAATATGTTTATCTCCATTTGCCACAGCCAAATTTAGAATCTGTTTAAACAGGATAGTGAATTTAAAATGTACTTGCAAAGGCATACATATTTTGTAATTATCAATACATGGAATGATAAAAAGTATATATTTCATTGAAAAAATATTTCTTCCTGTAAATCAGTAGCTAATTTAATATCTTGGCTTATTAACTTTTTTCATAATGTAACACACTCATACAATCTGGTTTCTTTGTCCTGGATAAAAGTGGAAGAGTATTCTTACCAACAGATTGTGCTTCTAAAATATATTCTGTAGGATAATTACATTTTTAAAAGCTGAACTATTGATTTTATCATTGGATTCCTTATTACAATTGTACGTTTTCTTACCTCTGTCTTTCCTATACTTTAGAAAGTATTCTTTTTATTTCTTTTATTTATATTTCTTAACATCTTATTTCAAACTTGTGTACATTCGGAAGAACAAAATACCATTTTATCAAACAGTAATACATAAAACACTGTTCTGTCACAGTTATACATTCAAATGGGACCCATGAAGACATTTTCTAATTCCATCATGTTTTGTTTCTATTTGGTTAGCCACTGCTGCAGCTATAATTTGGCTTGTGATTCAAGTAAGTCAAATAATGTAATAGTACTTCATAAACAGATTTTCAGTGGCTAAGTTGGCAGAGACATAATTTTCCTTCTTTACAGTCTGCTAAATAGTTTAGATGGAAATAACTGGTTACTAGAAGAGGAATTTTGGGCAAACATGCATATAAACCAAGGGAAAAGTCTAGGCTAGACCTTTTCTCTTTGACATATGATCAATGAACTCAAAGAGTAGAAGAACAGCTAGAAGCTCATATCTTCCACTAAGTATGAGTCTCCTCATCTGAGATTGTCTTCTTGCACTGCAAGAAGAAGCCATTACAAACTCTTCTATGTTACAGTATCGCTACTCTCTTTGTCCTAAACATTTAGCACAAGTCACCCCTTCAAGATTGTCCAGATCAAGAAATAGACTTCACAAGAAGACTAGGCTTCTCTTTTATTGAAATAGGCTAGCAGAGGTCAGCAACCCGCTGCTCTGGAACCGCATGTGGCTCTTTCATTCCTCTGCTGCAGCTCCCTGTTGCTGAAAATATGCGTCACAACTGCCAATGTGTGACACCCACCAACTTGTGATTTATTAAGCTTTTTGACCCACGGTAGGCCAACCATGGCTAAATCCAAGAAAAGAAAAGTTTCAGAAGAAAACAGAAACTTTAATTCAACTATATATACTAGTTTTATGGCCACTCAGAAATAGTCAGGCACGGTAAGAGTTTTGTGGCTCCCAGTGTTTTCTGTGGGAAATGGGTCCAAATGGCTCTCTGAGTTTAAGGTTGCCGACCCCTGCGCTATAGTAATAGTCTTGCAACTCTGGCTGTGATTTCCCTTCTGAATCTCTCATACCTCAAAGAATATAAATATAAATTTATTAAAAGTTAAGTTAAAGTTAAGTTAATTTGGGAGGACTCCATTTGCATTGCTTCCTTATACCTTTACTTTTCCCAGGGCTCAAGGCATGCTTCTGCACATTTTATTAATGAGTGATTTCTGTAGAGGTTTTTTTTCCCCTAAGGTCATCTTCATAGTTCTTTATAACATGGTGTATCAATTGTCAGATTGACGATCTAAATTCTACCAAATACCTCCATAGTAGTCTCAATCCAGGTACAAAAGGCAGTAAAATTGTTGTTTTAACTTTTCTTCCACAGTGGAAACACTTTATACAGGTGGATTCCTTATAGTATGGTTTAAAATACTAGTCTAGAAACAGAATTTTAGAAAAAATATGTCTTCCAGTTTTTTATGTGATCTGTTCACTCATCTTATGTCACCTGCTTGGAAAAGGGATTGGAAAAGGAAAGGTCGTTTAGTTAGTTCACTTTTTCGTTGTGAGGCTAACTTTAGAACCCAATGACATTAAGCTTTAGAAATTCTGACAGTTTTTCGATTAGATTTCCAAATGACAATGAATAATGGTTTCTTATATTTTTTTTTATACATAACCATATATTTCTTAAGTGATTCATTTTAATAGCAATTAAGGCATACATAATTTACATAGTAATTAATACTATTAGAGAAGCAGAGAATGATTTTTAAAAAATGTGTTAAGTCACAAGTGGGAAGAAATTAATCAGATCACTGAATTTAACAGTTTCTCTTCGTAACGTTCAGTTAAAAAGGATGGATGGGTGGATTTGATAAGTAGATTCACAGAGATTGCTGCTTTTAACTTGTGATAGGCTTATGTGGATTTATATTTATTTGTAATTTAAATGAACAGTTGGATATTGGGAATTCTGAACAGTGGCTGTTTACCAAGCTTTCAGTAAAACAAACATGTTATTTTAAAATAAAAATGTACTTTTTAAAAAATTTATCTCTCAAGCTTCTATATCAGTTTAGTGACAAGCAACTTTAAACAGTGCATGCCTTAAATCAGTAAAAAGGGTTGAAACAACTTACAGCAATATCTTAACATGTTAAAC